AACTACTTCCCCCTGTACCCCTTGCCCTTCCCTCCTTCCTGTCAGAACCTGCTCTGTCTGAGCATGTGGAAGTGAGGGGCAAATCTGAAAACAGTGACTACAAAATAAACATAACTACAATAGCTGGTATATAGGAAAAGGATTACAGGTGCCCATAGACTCAGTTCATCCAGCGTTGATGCATTTTACCTCTTTTGAAACTAGTGCAAATTTTAGCACAGGTACTTCATAAACACACTTAAGTAGCACTTTGGCATCTACTTCTATATAGTACAAACTATGCATGGTATTAGTCCAAAGCAAAAAGGCTCATGATTTACCATATAGTTTACTGGGCTGGGCCCCAGCAGAGTTAACAGCGTTTCAAGACATGGCAATCCCACAGCTCAGCATTGTTCAGTATGTGTGTGTACGCCAGATATCAGCCCCCCCGTCCCCGCAATGATTCATGTGCTAGTTAGCCCCTCCATCCGTGACTGGGCTGCACTAACCTATCTTTGTGGTAGGCCACCATCAGTACGTTTACCCAATATGGGTCATGTATTCAACACAGAGCATGACTGCTGGCTGCATTTAATCAACTTCATAGCTGATGTCCATTACTGAGCACATGTTGCTTTTGGCAGCACTTTTAATGATAGACAATACATTTGAATAAAAGGAAACCTCATTTAAGTGCAAGATGATGGGCTTTCCCTGTTCCCCCACAATGTTAGACATACATATCCAGAATTGGGGTGCAACAGTACGATAACAGGCAACATTAGCATCTCCTAAAAAGAACAGATCAGCTGTGCTAGGACACGTCACAGCACAACTCAACCCACTCCAGGGACAACATCTGTTTAGAGCCTTATAGCAAACAATTGTTTCTGGGAGTGATTTTGATATCTGACTGATGTCAGATACAAAGCAAGCTAGGTATTGCACAGAAATCTTTAAAAACAAAAAAAATACCCCACAAAGTTTTTACTAACAGATAATTCAAAAATTCATTTGCTTATGTAATAAGCCAATAATCTTGTATCATTTCCCCAAGAAATAGTAACA